AAAAAAAAAAAAAAAAAAAAAAAAAAAAAAAAAGTTCAACGCTCACGAATCTGGAAATGAGAGGAAAAGAGGAAGCATTCGAAACAAAACCTCGTCGTGTCCGGCGAGGTTAATCTTCTCCTTCTTGAAAATGTTGGTGTCGAAGTCGAGGAGCGCGGGGGCCTTGACCGGCGGCGCCGACACCATGCGGGCGCCGAGGGCGGAGGCGCAAGGGCGGAGTCTTAGGGATTTGAAAGCGAGCTTGGAAGAGGAAGAAGGCAGAGCGAGGCTGGTGGCGGAGAAGGCGGCGGAGGGAGGCTTGGGTAGGGTTTCGGAGGCGGCGGAAATCGCAGAAGAACAGGACGTTGCAGCCGCCATTGTTGGAGTGTGAAGTGGCTGTTTGGAGGTACAAAGGGTTCAGTGAGTGAGTGAATGAGGGTGGTTTCTGATTCGGGGCTTTATACTAGGGGTTTTTAGTGGACAGTGCTAACGTGCGCTTGTAAGAAGTAAGAAGTGATAACTGGTTACTTGCATAGCCCGTTTCTCGTAAGACTCAGATCCAATGGTTATTATCCTCGTGTGCACAACACAACCCTACAAAGGAGGTAGGTAAACTAAAGCCAGAATGATGCCCACATTCCACAAACACATCATCATTGATCACTCTTGGATATTACATTGTGTTAAATATTTAGAAAAAAAAAATTGTAATTCTTAATGATGCTATCAAACGGGGGATACATGTTGTATTGGTGAGTTTTATATTTATTTGCAATATATTTGGAATTTATATTTGGACAAGAATCGTGTTAATTGATGAAGAAACTATTTTGATTACTTCGATTGGATGTATGCAGAAAGTGATGATTTATGTTCTGAAATTAGTTAATAAATCTACTGGAATTCTTTCATTTTTGGTAAATTTTAATCAATAAGATATGTATTAAAGTGTGTTGTTCACATTCCTTTTAATTATTAACAAAAAAAAATATTACCATATTCAAAAAAGTATATAAATTTTGATAGATTATTTTATAATGTGAATTTTGTGACTTTTAGTTAAAATTTATAAATATCTCATTCATTTGACAATCTTACCCAAACCATTAATATATTGTATTTTTTTTATATTTTCTCTCTCTTATTTTTCTTATGCTTTTTATTCTCTTTTATTTCCCTCCATCCTTTCTTTCTCCTTCTCTTTTTTCTCTCCTGTTGATAAATTATATTTTTGTTGATTATATATATAGTAATTTTATTTTGATGTAATTGGTATTTTATTTTATATAATTTATTTAAAAAATTTAAACTAAATTTGAGTTGTTTTAGTGCAAATAATTAAGTTTATATAATGAAAATTTGAAAATTAAGTAGCATGATAAAGTATGTGGAACACTAGACCAAAGAGTACTAAGAAAAATAGTGCATCTATGTATAATTATGCATATTTGTGTTAAAATTGAATAATTATATGTTTCAAAAAGAAGTACGATTAAGTTAAATAATGCGCAACATGTCAAATGATGGAGAGAAAACACACACTAGTCATATTGAAAGGAGACAACACAGTCATGTTAAACTTAGTATAAAAGTGCTTGGTTGACTCAAGCTCAATCTTATTAATAAAGAAAATGGTAGAAAGGAAACACTTATTGGACAATTTGACCTAATTTCAAAGCTACAAACAAAAATCCTACTTCTTGTGATTCTCAAATTGAAAATGAGATACCTCAAAGTTAAGCGAAAATATCTTGAGATTTCTGGATCAAGAAGTGAAAGGATGTTCATTATCTTTAGGGTTCCTTATTTCTTCTCATATACTCCATAATGATAAGATTGCTTTCTTTTGTGACGAGGAACTAATTCTTTAGACTAAAGTTATACTAAGCCATGCTTGATTAACCTAAAACTCTTATTGGTTGTTGGGACCATAGTGCATAACAAAATATTAAAAGTTTAAAAATACTTATTTTATTATGAAAACCTAGTTATAAAATAATCAAATAAAACAAATTTCAACAACAATAATAAACTTCAAAATCTAAAGTGAAAGATTTCCACTTCAATGTTAGAGAATAAAGATCATGGAACCTAATTCAAAAACAAAAATTTCACTGTATAGAATAATGAATACACCAACATAATTTCTCTAACTAGACAAAATTGACAATCTAAACTCAATCCAATAAATAGAGTTAAGTTAGATCTTTAAAAAAAACTTGTCTAAATAGAATTGAACTATTTTGACCTAACTAATACAGTTTGACAAGTACCCAAATTAGACTAACCCACAGGCATTTAGATTGCCCAATAAAGAAATAAAATTTAATTAATAATTAATACCAATAGTAATAATCATTATGTAATGTGATGTTTGTTGTAATATTGATCGGACATAGTCCCACAAAATAAATAATAATTTTAGATTAGGTGAAAATGTCAAAATGACACACACACACAGATACGCACGCACGCAGGCACGCACGCACGCACACACGCACGCACACACGCACACACACACACCACACACGCACGCACGCACGCATGCACGCACGCACAGACACACAGACACACACAGACACACAGACACACAGACACACAGACACACAGACACACACACACATACACACACGCACACACACACACACGCGCGCGCACACACACATAAAATGATTTTATATAAAAATGATAAAAGAAAAGATAAATTTTAATAAATTAGAATAATATATATATATATATATATCAATAAAATCAAGAATGAAATTTAACTTACTTTTTTTTTTCTTCTATATTTAAAAAAAAATGAAAAGAAAAGAAGAACAATCCAACTTAAAACTTATATATGAACATATTACATTTTAATTTATAATTTATAATAATAATTATTAATTAATAATTCATTTATTATTAAATAAACTCGATTGACTTGTCGAGTTATATATGTTGAATTAAAATAACTTGGTTTTATTTAGACCATTTTTATTAAAATTTATTCTAATCTTATTAAAAAGTTAGTCGAATTGATCATTACATCATACTTAATTTGACAATTATAATTCAAAGAGTCTCTGATGGTAAAAATGTAAATTTGTATTATTAATTTAAGAGATTTTAGGTTTGAATTGAAACGAAGGAGATTGTCTTCTTCTTCTATTGTGTTGATCCACTTGAATTCCTTTTATTAAAAGCATATCAAAATTAAATTCTTAGAATCATTTAATCTTTATAAAAATGATAGTATCTTGTTATTTTGTGTTACGTTGTTCGAAGTGATATTTGCCAAGGAATTTTATAAGAAGAGATTCATGAATCACTATCCCACTTTTAAGATTGACATGGAATAGGAATTAGGAAGAAGAATGGCACTCAAAATCATAGTATTTCATTACTCAATGCTTAGCCAGTTAGCTCCTTATTCTAAGTTTTTCTTATTGGGCCCCCTGTGAAAGAGACCAAGCTCAATGGGTAGCTCCTAAGCTTAGATTGTGGGCCTATGGATCTGTGTCTCGCGATTTTTTTTTTGGGTTGATAGAGGTTTCAAAATTACATTCGGGCTCGCAAATAGGCAGTGGCCTAATACCCACCTTTTAAGTCTCAACTCTCAAGTGCCTATCCTGTGAAACAAATGTCATCACACACATTTTATTTTCCTTTATTTATTTTTATTGTAATTTCATGACACTTGTTTTATTTATCATTTTTCTCTCTTGGTATAGATCGACATACCTTCCACAAAACATTATTCTTCTCGATTTGAACTATTCATCAACACTTCCACTATAGTTGCAAGTGGCTTGAAAATCAGTTACATGTTCTTTTGTCTTTTCAAACAAAACTTTAGTGCATCTCTTCTTGGCTTCTTGCAGATGAATCCTATCTCTAGACATTTATTCTTCAAGTAGTTATTGTTTTGATGAATTTGAACCCTCATGTGATTCAGAGTATTATATTTGTTGAGTCAATAATTCTGATATCTCAACTTTATATTATGTTTCAATACATGCATAACCTATAATAGAATAGGCACAATGTGATTGATTACTTTATTCACTCTTAATATATTTCTTGCTAATCGATAGTGAGAGCTCTAAATCATCTTTAGTTAATCTATCCATATTTCGACCCATAACTACAACATGAAATTATTCTTATTTTGTTTGCAAACTTGAAAAACCTTAGCTTTCTGGTGTAAACAACACTTGGTTATTGTATAATCGTATTTGATTAGTATATAAGTATTTGTCTTCAATACCTTGTTTGTGAGTTATATGTGGAAGAAAGGTCGATATTGTACAACTTTGATATGAACAATTTCCTTGATCTGGCAACAACGTATTAATTGATGTTCTACAGTGTACTTACACGAGACATTGATTAAGGTAGTGATCACCACTACAAACATGTTTTCTTTGGCCATTCCACAAATTTGTATATTTGAGACATTATACTTGTTGATCAGTTTGCTGTGTGGAAATCTGAAACGTATACAAAATGTTGGGGCAACTTTAATGAATTCATATAAAACAAATATCACTCCCATATAAATTTATAAAAGTGGCGTGTTTAAATAAATGAGCAGTTATGATATCTTCTTATTTTAACCTATATACATGAACACGTCTATCATCTAATTATAATTTAATTTGGCCATCATTAAGGTCAAATTTGAACAAAATCACCTTTGACTATTTACAAGTTTTAGAAAAGCAAATAAACAAAATGTTACTAAGGTAAGATTAATTATTATCATGGCACGCAGTAGCAAAATTACATGTACTAAACGAGATAGATAATTGCCTTTTGGAAATCCAAGCCTCGTACTAAACGTGGAGAATGAACCAATTTGTTACCAACCTTGAAATTCATGTTTGCATAGTGGAAATTTGAGGACCACCACAGGAAGGATTAGATTCGTTAGAATAAGTGTAAGAAAGGAAATCTTGATCCCATTAAGATAAAGTGTGTGAATCTAAGTGGTCGTGTTCAAATAAAGCTGTGTTTGTGTCACCATCAATGACGTGGATAATGGATTACAATTCTATTGTCAAAGGAAAGTGATTAGCATAAAGGGGTAATTAGCCTATTAAAAAAGTGATTAGCTGGCTCTTTACCCTAAAGGGTGCCATCAAAACTTGGCTTTTGCCTAACTTAAAGCTTGCAATTACTCATTAAAAATATGAAACAACACATTCTCCCATAAATCACTATGCATGACTCCAAAATAAAATTCAAGCATAGTGTGCGTTACGCAAATTGCGGCAATTAAGATAACCAATTTAGAGATCACAAGAAATCCCAATTACTGCGAAACCACTTTCTATATTGCAGATGAACCAATTACCTTTGAGTTAATGGCAAACAATTTAATCATATTATATTCCTCAACGACTTGGAACTCATACATAAGATTCTTTTCAAAATGTGCTAAAATATGCACTTGTCATATTCAGCAGCACTCATGTATTTTTCTGAATCACCACTCGTGATGCTATGTGACTGTGTGTGTGTGGACAAATATTGTTCAGTTCCAAAAAGGCTCATTTGGGTTATTTTAGCTACGACAAAATTTCCCATAGTGAATTTTCATCACTCAGCACTCGATCGAGAAGAAGTTTGAATTTGAAGATTTTTTACACTCTTTTGATTTGAATTTCTTTTGTATATATATTACTATTTTCATTAACTATTTTGTGAATGGCCTCTTCCATTATCGTTGCCTATTTGAAGAAATAGATGGTGCCGTATAAAAATGAAATTGAATATTTTGCAACTTTAAAGAAAGTCAATTATTAGCATTAACTAACATAAAATATTGTAGGTCGCTTAAATAATCTTCTACCTAGTATTCTGATGTTCTAGTTTTACAAGTATCTCTAACCTTGAAAATCATAATTTAAATCCTTAAAATGATATGATAATGAAACTCTTAATCCTTTAAAAATAGCAGAGCCAATAATGTTTTGGAATGACCACAACGTTCTTTTATCACGCATAATAACATCATAAATCTAAAATAAAGATAAAAAATCAATCTTAATCATATTATTGTTTGTCCCATTCCCCCTTTGAAAAGAAATTATTATCACTACAACTAGTTTTCTCATAGACAGCAAAATCCCCCCTTTAAAAATATATTTTCCGAAGGCATATACAAATGATGTATAAAAATTAATTAAAAAAAAAGCATAAACAATTACTTTTCAAAGTTTGACTTATAACATAATAATTTTATATATTGTTTTGATTTTGATGGAAAACTAAATAAAATTAACACTAAGCATATTGAGATAAACTTCACGATATTCACAGCAGAAGAAAAAAACTAAATAAAATTTTATAAAAAAATTAAATTAATTCACATATAAATTAATTTGTAAAAACTCTTTCATATCAAATTTTTTAAAATATATTTATTGATTTATATATAAGTTAATTTTTTTTAAAAATATTTTAAAAATCCTTATGAAGAACTAAATAGACATCTCTATGTATGTGTATTTTTTTTTTTTCGAAAAACAATTATGAAAGTTGAATATGAATTAGAAAAGCTATATTAGAATAGAACCTTTTTTTTTTTTTTTAAATAACAAGAACTGAATTATAATATATACCTATTTTTATAATCATATTATTCATACAATACTTTTTCACACTACTTTTTGCAGTCTTATTTGTTTTCTTTATCACATCATTCATATTACTTTATGTTTTTTTAATACTTTTTCTTTTATGCAGAATGTTGTACAAAAATTCACATATCTATCTATCTATCATATGCATTTGTATTTAAAAAGAAAAGGGACAAGAAGTTTTGTTTTTGACAGTAAAGGGACAAGAAGTTCTGGTCTTAAAAGTGTGTAGTTGTTGTAGTCCCCCACCACAAGAGGTAATCCGTAACAGCACAGGTACTTTCTGGAATGGATCTCACCAAAGCCTCAACCATCATCATCACCCAACACTGACTACACACATCTGACACAACACAACACACTCTTCCATCTTTCATTCCAAATACACTCCAACCCCAACATGACAAACACCAAACCTTTCCCATTTCATCATTGAGTTTTTGTCTCTAACTCAAACACTTATGGAAATTACACAACACGGTGCAGCCAAAGCCAAAGTTTCATCACCCTCCAAGTTTTTCTTCTTCTTGTCTTCAAAAGAATCAAAACTAAACCACTCTTCTTCTTCTTCTTCTTCCTTGTTTGTGTCTATTATTCCCTCTTTGTCATGGAAATGGAAGCCTTTGCCCCTCAGAGGATAAGTGACGGTTTTCAAGTAAGTTGTGGTGTAATTGGAAGTGGGTATGCTTCATCTTCGTCTCTAGTGTTGGATAAGGAGAAGGGAGAGCTTGTTGAGGCCCCTGTCAAATTGGAACGCAAGGGTGTGTCCCCTGAGAGAAGCATTGAAGCCTTGAGGAACCATAGTGAGGCAGAAAGGAGAAGGAGAGCAAGAATTAATGCACATCTTGATACACTTCGCACTGTCATTCCAGGTGCTAAGAAGGTTCGTTACTTCAATATAATGCTTCCTCCATTATCATTTTATTTTTATTATTTAGATAACTCGCAGATATCTAGTCCAGTACGCTAGATATCTAGTTGTGCAAGCTAGATGTCTAGTCTTTGGCATGAAAATGGTGTGTTAAAATATCAGATCAACTATTGATATAAGAGAATAATGTACATAAGTGAGTGACAATCCTTTTGATAATTAGCTTTTCGGATTAAGTTAGCCTTAAAGCCAGCAAATTCTAAGAATTTGCAACCTCTATCAATGGTTGGTTTTGATCAGACTAACAGGTTCTGTCTCATGTGGCAGTTGCTTGATTAACTTAAAATACAGGTTTTTGATTGTCTCTTGTCTGAGTTCATTCATTTATTGTTGTACATTAAAGGATATTAAAGGGAAATCTGGGTGCCAGCTTATTATTGAATGTTTTCTTTTTTCATATTTTATCTTCCTTGTAAAATGTATGTTTAAATATTTAGGTTAACTTGGGATTGTTACCGACCTTATTAAGTCATTTGGTTGAAGGGTCATGAAACAAAATGGTAGCCTAAAGGCTAAATAACTTGTTTACTTTACCTCTCTTGTGCTGGACCTTGCAATGAAAGAAAAGCTTTGGCTATTGACACATGCATCACTGAAGCTTTTAATTGGAACTGATCTTCTTAACCAATTAAGTTCAAAGATAAAATTCTTAATCAATGCATATGAAGGTTTTGTAAGACTTTATGGATGCTCAAATCATTAGCTTGGAGATCAGGAGTTAATTGACCCTATTTTATGATCCATTTATGAGTAAAGCCATTTGGCTAGGTTTGGAGTCTTGTAGAATTATTCATTCATGGCTTCTAAATATGAGTTTTCTTTGTATACTTTTTCATCTCAGTTGGACAAAGCAACCTTGCTGGGTGAGGTTATTAGACATTTGAAAGAGCTGAAAACGAATGCAGCACAAGCTAGTGAAGGCCTAATGATACCAAAGGACAGTGATGAAATAAGAGTTGAAGAACAAGAGGGTGGGTTGTATGGTTTTCCTTACTCAATTAAGGCATCACTATGTTGTGAATACAAACCCGGGTTATTGAGTGATATAAGACAAGCACTTGATGCACTTCATCTTATGATAACAAGGGCGGAAATTGCAACCTTGGGGGGAAGGATGAAGAATGTGTTTGTGATAATTAGCTGCAAAGAACAAAGTGTTGAAGATGCTGAATACCGTCAGTTTCTGGCAGGGTCTGTTCATCAAGCTCTAAGATCTGTGTTAGATAGATTTTCTGTTTCACAAGACATGTTGGAAAGCAGGAAGAGAAGGAGGATTTCTATATTCAGTTCTTCATCTATAGGAGATTTCTTGTGAGAATTTTTCTATATAAGAATGTAATTTAAATCTCCATATGCATAGCATAGCATATATCTGAATATGATGAGGGAGTAATAGTGACACATTAGCAAATAGCAATTTCACATGCTATGGAAAGTAGAGTGAAATGTTGTGCTTCCACTCTTCTTATCTAGATTTGTACTTTCTTAAGATGAATCATGTGAATCTGGATTCTACATGTATTTGGAGCATTCACATTTCACTGATAACTTTACTCTTTTGACCATAGACAGAAATGGAGTTCTCGTTCCTATCACCTTGTACCTTGTTTAGTCAAAAGTTTCTTCAGTCAAGAATTCTCTTCCCGTGAACAAAAACTTGGACTTCTGGGGTAAGTAGTTTATGACAGATTTAAAACAATCACAGCCTTTGTAAGATTCTGTTTTGAATTTTGTTAATAAATAAATTGATCTATCTTATGCATTACTCCTCTCTCTCTCTTTTTTATTGCACAAACTTGATATATAAATAACATTGCTCTATGGTTAATCATTTATTGTGATTATATTATCATACTCTTTTATGGAATATCCAAAATTTCATACAGCTATATGCAATAGAAATTTAGCATGCAGCATAGAGGTTTCTCAAGAGCATTCAGTTAACTTATTGTATGTTTTGCCCCTTTAGACAATCCATTTGAGTTGTGAGCAATACAAAAAAAATGTATAAATTCAAATTTTGTACTATTTTATTTCTTTTCTCGTCCTCTTTCTCTCCCATTTTCCTCATAAGGCCCTGTGGACTTTCTCAAGATTCACCTACCGTGGCTTCTTCCTTTTCCAAATAAATAAATAAAACACTGCAACATCTTTAAAGCTGAGCAGGAAAAAATGACTTATATAAGGACTCAACAATGTTAGCATGCAGCAACTGATTACTGAATAATGCAGAAAGTGGAGAATTAGCTGAGCTTAATGTTATGATTGTTTTCATTAAGCAAATTTAATTTATTGTAATTTGGTAATTTTGAAAATTGCGACATTTGTCAACATGATAAATTAGTAAAAGTTTATTCCATATATAGTTATTATTAAATTAAATTAGTGGTTATTTACAAGTTAAAAGGGTATAAATCTAGAAACTGTAGGAAAAGTTGTAAATAAAATCTTAAAAAAGATAATATCCTGTTTATGCATATTTTCAGTAGAGACTTTATTTAAAGAAATCAATTTTATGTGTTGGGTAAAAGAAAATATACACGGCTTAAAATAATAAATTGATAAATTTTTTGTTTCACATTTTTTAAGGAACATATCACATATTAAAATCGTAACAAATATTCCGATAATTATGTGTAAACTATCAGTTTATTTTGATTTTTTCCTTCTTTTTAAAAGGAAAAAAATTAAGCCACACAATTTTTTTCTTATTTAATAAAACTTTCAAAAAAGTTAATTTTATATTATTTATTTATACCGGTTATTCTTTTTTTGGTTCAAAATCAAAAAGTATTATTTGTCTAACATGAAAATAATTTCTTCCAATGATTTGATTTTCTCCAACTAGTTTTCTATATTATTAAGAGTTAAAATTTAAATCCTGAACTCTTAATTAAATGATATAAATGTCTTAGCATTTGTGTCAACTAAATTTGTTGTTATTCCTTTTTTTAATGTGTAAGAGGTTTAGCAATCCATGAATGATTACTGATTAAAAAGTAAATCAAAACACTAAAGCAGCACCAAAGATGGGGAAGATGTGCAAAGATATGCAGGGAATAAGCAAGACAGCTAAAGAGATTTTCAAGAGATACAGGGAAGGATGGTCCAAGAAAGCAAGGCAGATTTGTTAGAGAGATAGTGATGCAATCATGACTAAGGATCAAGTCCAAAAAGAACCAAGAGGAGTGAGCTAAGCATAAGGGAGGAAGGCCCAAGTTCATGTTGAGCTTTGAGTTACCTTTTGTAGTTCATATATTCTTTGTAAATAACTCTTTTATTTTGACCTTGTATTTTTATTAATTAGAATAGGAATTTATTTCCTTGTAATTTTTTTTCTTTAGGAGTGTTTTTAATATTTTAGGGGGAGTACAACTAGAAATTGGAAAATGTATTAATTGGGCTTATTTGGGCCAAGATATAGTAGAGAGTATTTTCCTAGAAGTGGAAGTCCACTTCTAAGTCCACCACACTCTTATTGGCTTCACACAACACCTACCTAGTCACATATTTAATCCCTAGTCACACTTTTTGCATGTTTGCTTCTCCACCCCCTTTCTTAATTCCACACCCATCATCACACCATCCACACAATGCCACTTGTATAGCTCTCAATGGATGGTTTAGATCTCATGATTGTGGCGCCTAGAATTTGAATTTCAAATTTTGAGAACCATAGTTAGTTGACTTAAGTACAAGTTAACCTAACCTTGGTTCACCTAACCTTGATTAGCTTAACTTGCACCACAAGTTAACAAACTCTATATATAGATGAGAGCATCCATATATGTCACTTTTGAACATTTATGAGAATGAGTGAGTTTTCTCTCAACTCCAAGAGTTTGAGTTCCTCTCATAGAGTGCAACTCCATATGTAACTCTTATCAAAGATTCTTTCCTTGTGGTGAGTCACTTTCTTGCCTTATTTTCTCCTTGAGAATTGGTGCCACCATTCCTTGCCTTCTCCATCATTTTCAAGTTTCTTCTCCAACAATGCACCTCATGGATGAAAGATCTTGGGAGACAAAGAAGGTTTGAAGAGTTATCTATCACTCTTTTTGTTAGGATATAGAATAAAGGAAATTAGAATAGTTATTAGTTAGAAAGATATCATGGGCTAGGCCCATCACATCTATAAATAGGAGGTTACTTGGTAGAGGGGAGGATTTAGATTTGTTCACATTTGTAAATTGAGCATTAGCTCTTTGTGAAAGGAGAAATCCTTTGTGAAGGGGAAACCCTTGGAGGAGATATGTCTCTCCTATTTTTTGTTCTTTTCAACATATTCAATAAAATCTTTCTTTTCTTTCTCTTTCCTAATTCTTGGTTCCTAACAGGATCGACAAACTCGCATGCTTTCACTACAATCTTACCTATTTGTGACTTTGTGAGATCCAAATTTAGAGTGGGCAACAAGATCATAAGATCATGCAATCTTACTATCTAGATCACGAGTTTAACAACACAGCAAAACAACTCTTTACCTAAAAACTAGGAAACTTTGATAGCAAGTAGATAGTACAAGTTTAAAACTTAATATATATATATAT